CCCTCTCTCTCTCCCTGTCTCCCTCTCTCTCTACCTCTCTCTCTCCCTCCCTCTCTCTCTCCCAGTCTCCCTCTCTCTCCCTCCCTCCCTCCACGTGCACCTTGCTGTTCTGTTCCGGTCCATGGGAGAGCTCCGAATAGCTGTTGCTGTTTCCGCACTGGGTCCCCTGGGCGTCCTGACTGGGCCTCACAGCCTCTCAGGCCCTGGATCTACTCTGGGCTGCCGTGTGTCACCTGCATGCCTTCCTTCCTCATGAAAGCCCTCCCGTGCTTTGTTTCTTGTTTTCCTGAGGACGGTGGAGTTTTTCTTCCTCTAGATGCAGCGTGTCATGCAGGTCAGGCACCCCCCACCCAAGGGCTTTGGTGTCAGGCTGTTCTGGCTTTTAGAGTGTGTGCGTGGGTCAAGCATCCCTAGCTCCCAAGTCCCCAGTCCTCAACATACTCCAAATCTGAACCTTTGTGGACCTCACGCAGGTGCTTAGAGCGTGGAAGCGCTGGGTTTGGGACAGGGCGACCTTGCAGGGTTAGATCAGCTTTGTGCCAGACACCAGAGGAGCCACTCAGCCGCTCACACAGGCACGCATGCCGAGCAGGAGGCGTGGAGCACAGTAGAGCCTGAGGGCGCCGACCCAGGCAGACCCCTCCACAGTCACCCAAGAGGGGCACAGGTGACCCTGCCGGGCTTGGCGCCCACCATCCAGTGGCCTCTCAGGACCCCGGCACGCTCATGGTGCACCCTGTGAGGCCCGCATCTCCCTGTGCCCAGACCTGGCCCTGGAGATGCCACCACCCAGAGGGCTCTGTGTTCTTCAGCCTCTCTGGGGACTCACGGAGGTGAAATGTGAGCCAGGAGGGGCGGCACACACCTGTGAACCCAGCACTGCAGGGGCTGAGCAGGAGGGAGCCCGGCCTGCACTGCACAGCCCGAGACACCCCACTCAAAAGCAAAGCAAATATGGGCCAGGGATTTAGCTCAGTGGTTTTGCTGCCTGCTGTGCAAGCGCAAGGACCTGAGTTCGATCCCCGGTACCAAAAAAAAAAGCAAAAAAAAAAAAGCAAAGCGAATAAGC